CGTTGGCAGTTGAAACATTGTATGAGTTCGTCACAACTACCGAAGTTCTTTTAGCTTCGCTTATAAGATATAAAGCATTCATGATGTCAGTAACCTTTCCTGTGAATACGGAGCATTCTCCAGGTAATTTAAACAGCAGGTAGTTTTCTTTACTCGCTAAACCACATCTTAAGAGCACATCTCCTTCCTTGGATGCATCCGTATATATAAAATCGAAATTTTTATATTGTTCTGTCAGTTTTAAAAACGATTTTTGTATTTTAGTCATGGAATTTTAGAGTTTTTATTGAGTGATGTAATTTATAATTTTCTATTTATATTTTTACCTGCTATTAGATTTGTTTGTCCATCACCATTGCAGCAGTTGAAAAAAATAAAACGTTTCTGTATTAGGTTTGCAGATACATAGAAACTTTCGTATGAATCAATAATTTATGTTCGTATTATATTACAAGTATAATTGGATATATGTTTAAATAATAGCCTTCGAGTTCTGTCTTCGAGTAGAATTGTTATAAGGTTCGTTTATTTCTTATATTCCTTTTATCAAGAAATCCGATCTTATCAAACTTATATTTTGCCGATCTAAGATGGTGGTTACCAATCTGTTATGTTTCCAAAAAAATTGTATCCAATTTATATGCTAATGGACAAACATTCGTTTGAGTTATTTCTAAACCAGCCCTGGTTAGGCAAGCAGTATTGATTTGATTCCAGGACCTATTGTTTATTTCATCGAATTATTTGGCAGACAGAAAGAGAAATTATCCATTGGCATGAAATATGGAATTATTTTTTATTTATTCAAAAGAAAAAAGAAAAAAAAATACGTTAGTGATGAATAGAAATTGACAACCCATCGCATTTTATTTATCAAGTCATTTCCACATATTTCCAATGTCTGCTGTCACTGAACTATTTAAAAAGTAATTAGTGATCGCACATTAAGATTTTAACTTCATCTCCTCTTGGTAATTAAATTGTCTGCTACGATTCTGCTTAATGGTTATTTTATTTTTTAATACAGTTAGAAACAATTTTGTTGGATGGGCTTGAAGTTTACTATGGATACGTATCTGGATTTGGCCGAGTCGGTAATGTATGGAGCATCAAGGTCATTATGGATAATTTTATTTGTAACAAAGAAGGGAAAACTGCATTTTAAATACAATGCACTTCAGATCATTTAGTTACTTGATATGTAGCTTAGTTTTAACAGCAGAAATATAGTTAATACAATACAAATTAATAATTGTATTACTGAAGAATATAATAACAAATAAAATTTTATTATCGACAAAGTAGCCGTCTTCAGATGACCTATACCCTTTCCGTAAAGATATCCTTTCAGTTGCCCATATATAATTTGTGTGTGTTTGTGTGCAATAGCGGATCCAGAATTTAATTTTGGAGGGGCTTCAGCCCGGAAGTTTTTTTTTTTCATATATATAACGATAATTACTTTGGAAAAACAAAAAGATACTAAATGAAATGGTATTTAAGTGATTATTGAAGTCCTATTATACGTAATTAAACGAGCAATAATACTTTAAGACATAATTTTTTAATATTTTTTACCATAAAACATGGTTACATTTTACCATTTTGGGGGGCTTCAGCCCGAAAGCCCCCCCCCCCTTAAATCCGCTTGTGTGTGTGTGTGTGTAAAATAACATAAAATAAAACTTGAAATAATCCTGAAAGAACATAGTTTACTTTCATACCTTTTTTTTTTTAATTTACTTTAAAAAATGAATAAATAAAACTATAGTGCATTCAAAAATGATTAAATAAAAATATAATACCTTTAAAAATGAATAAATAAAAATATAATATCTTTAATAATGAATAAATAAAAATATAATACCGATACATAATTTAGACATATTTTTTTCAATATTTTAATAAAAAATATTTGTCCTTAATGTTTCACTAAAGCAATATTCAAAAACAAAAAAGATATGATAGCACGGTTTTTATTTTTTTTTAAGTATACCACACTCTAAATGATAAGTTGACTAGCCCTATATAGCCCTCCGTATATATGCATAACGTTTGTCTGAGACAATGCAGTATATATATATATATATATATATATATATATATATATATATATATATATATATATATATATAATATATATATATATATATATATATCATATTTATTATTAGATATAATCAAACATAATTTATTTTTATTAAAAAGTCAGAAAAAATATAATAGAAAACTAAATAACCCACGTTTTTATACTTTTAATTATGTACTTATAAAGTAAGAGTAGCTAAGTAGACTTCTGAGAACATTATCCCTAAATTATTCTCTTGTCAAATACTGCATTTCTCCCAATTCATGTATGAAAATTTAAAAATATATGTATATATTTTAGAAGTTTTCTTTATTCCGCCAAGTGGTCGTTTTGTGGCACTCTGTAATCAGACTAAAAGTTAATCCCTCAAAATAACTACGTGGTTACCTTTAAATCATTAGATTTATAGTAAGTATTGAAAATATTGCGAATTAAGTACGACTACAATTTTTAAAAAAATATCACGATAGTCTGTAATATGTTACATATGTCTAATGAATATTACTTCTATAATGTTGATTTGAATGTAATGGTTGAACATTTTCCATATTAATTTTACAAGCTTTATCCATATAAAGCAATTTAAATTAAGGCACACTAATAAGCATTTACGATAAGACAGAAATTCATTACTTGAAATATGTTGACCAAGCGAATTCAAGATTTTTTATTTAATCTACAAAGACCCGTTGATCTGTTGTGCAGCTGCAGATGATAAAGGCCTGGATATTTAGACTACAGTTGGCCTCTGCAAAGCTGCATGCCACCTCCAGGTGCTTCCACGTCTGTCTATGTCAACTTACTGCACAGCTTTAGTCCTGTTATATCTTATACTTTAATTTTATGTGTATTTTTTTAAAAACTTATAATTGTTCTTTTTATTTATTTATTTTCAGATTACTTTATTCTTATTTATTGTATACATATTATTCTTCTGTATAATTTATTTTATTTATTGTGCATAGAGTGTGAATGTGATCTGTGAACACTATTATAAATGTCCTTGAGACAGATTGTAATATTTTCCGATAAATAAGTTTAAAAAAACTTATAATTATTTGTTTAGATATTTATTATCCAACCACTTTATCATATAATCACAATGACTGAAATTATTTCTATTAATATAAGCACAAATTAGTTTAAATTATCTGATCCACTCCCTGGAATTCATATTATAGGCAGTATTTGTCGATAATATTAGTTTACCTGACATCTGGTAGGGCTGTTTCAGAGTGAGCAATGTGATATTATAGATTAGCAGCCCCTGCTAAATATTATAAATCATCATTTATATATTGTTATTGTATTAATTCAACAGTGAAATTTTATTAAATTAAACATTGCTCAGTTTATTAGTACCTAGTCTCAATATACCTTAGTTTGTCATGGGTTAGTTACTTAAAATAGTATTTATAACATATTATTAAAAGATATGAGATGCCCCAATAGTTCAATCACACAAGAAAATACAAATTTGATGACAAAAAATAATTTTTCTTTATATGTAATATGTAATATTCATATTATAAAATAATTTTGTAATATCAATATTATAGCTGCTGACCTGATCATTGCGGTATCCTTAATGTTACAAAATATGACTTCTTGAAAATGTGTAGTTTGTCTTATACGAAGTTACAAGAAGTAAACATTTTCGTGAATTAAATTAATACAATTTTTAGAGCATGTTTAATGAAATGATTCAGTTCAGTATAATACCTACTATTATATATTATTATTGAAAGACCGATGCTCCGTTCTTGCTAACGGAGATAAATATATCTCCCTTATGTAAATTTAAGAGAATGTATCGCCTTTAGCATGCACATATTATTCTTGTTACACTCGGAATACCATAATTGAACGTTCATAACTAAAGAATTCGATTTTTCATTTCTTTTTTTTTTCATTTTGAGAACTCATTCTCATAGAACCCTACTTTCAAATGCTTTTCTCATAATTATCTGTAATTTTCAATTTTTGTTTGTCGTTTAATAACAGAGAAGGGAGTTAGGCAGATGGAAGACCGAGAATTTTATTTCTATGAAGGAGGAAGGGATTTTCACCAGCTTTCCTAAATTTGTCAGTCATTTACTTAAAACTTATTCAAGAATATTTTATAGTTTTTTTGTTATTTAGTTCTTCATAACATAGAATAATTAGAGAGCAATAATCTATGGAAAGCAGGTCATTACAAAAATCGTGTTTACGAGCAATTAGTACATTTAAAAAAAATTTATTTCTAAACCTTAATAATATTTTTTTACTGAATATTCATTAGATAAGTACATACCATTTTTTTTTGTTAAATGCAAAATACGAACACAAAAACAAATTCTCAAATATCGGTAATTTTTTTTTAAAATTCTATATTGAATTAAAAATATTAATTATCCAAATTATAAATCATAATATTTTTATAACTGTTGAATAAAAATTAAAGTGAAGATATGTTTAAATATTACCGTCGTAAATACGTAATTTTTTGAAAAATATTATAATTAATAATTTGGATAATGGAAAAAGGGTATGAAAAATTAGAAACCATTGAATAAAAATTAAAGCGAAGAAATATTTAAATTATTTTAATTAACTTTTGTTAAATAAGAAAAAATTAACTAATTATTAACTTTCCATTCAAGCCACGACTAAGAGAGAGTTTAGTGTTTACGGGCGAAGAGTGGAGGGTGGGGAGGAGATAAGGATCAACAGACAGCTACGGCAGGTTGGATAAGGGTTAAACATTAAGTGCATTAATAGTGAGGATGACACTATCACTATCGATACATCGACGGGAGAGGGGATCGATGTCGGGACGAGGGGGTAGGGGGATGCTGTATTGGGGTGTTGCTATGACAACCCTTGGGGCGGAGAGGCGGAGTTAGACCGGTGGCGGGCAGGAGATAGGATGCACGGGCAGGAAGACGGCGACTGCAGGGAGGGTTTGGAGATGACCTCCGCCTGCTTGGTCCAGACCCTTTGCCAGAGGCTGGCCCTCACCCTTTGGCAGACAGCTCTTCACCTCAGGAGTCAGAAGGTAAGGGCGTCCCCGAGAGTTTCTTTTTGATAGTCAATATTTGATAGAGTCCAGAACACTGTATCCAAGGCTATAGCGAAGTCTAATCTAAGAACCTTTTCAAGTCGTGTATTATCAAGCGTGGTATTTTCCTTCAAAATAAAGTTATAATTTATTTAAATAGTCCTCAAAACATATTAATTTCAAAAAAATAAAATCCCTATTATATTTACATATATTTACATTTGAACATATTTGGGAGCTGTTTGATATAGACCACCTGTCAAAGCAACTGATATGGATCACAAATATTCAATCCAGTCCAATGTTTTGTAACTTTCGTTTTTGATTATTCTCTATTATCACATGCCAATATTGTATTTTTATAAAGATTTTAATTTTTCTGATAAATATCTTTTTAGTTTCATAATGTTATACACTACTTAAATTTCTATATCTGTACTATGAGGAGTTATTGAGTTACGACGTTATATTAGACTTTGAAATTATTTCTACCAATCCGTCTGTTTAAGAATTAACCTTATTCATAACTTAAAGAATTTCATAATTTTTGAAATGAATCCTCCTTCAGTTAAATGCACCAGACTGCAAGTGTTAGTGATTTCCTAGTTCCATCCAGCGCGTGCGCCTGCTTTGCGGCACTGTAGCTGCATAGAGCGCCTAGTTTAATTTTTAACTAGTTGCCGTGGTCAGTATTGCTCTAGCTACTTGTCAATGATTAAATACTCATGTCAAAATAACACAAAATTAAATACAATTTAAAGTACGGATTCATTTATGCAGGTTCTTTCAAAACACATTTTTTATTATTTTATATTAATATTTTTTATATTGAAAAAAAGTTTCGCATTTGGGTCATGTAAAAATAATACCTTAAAATTAACTTCATGACAAGTGAATGTCCCGTTTCTCTTGGTATAAAGTAATGTTATTTTACTTTTTGAATTGGTAATTTTTTCTGGATATATGGGTCTTGGCCATTCTGTATGTTTCAGTAACTCTGCGTTTTGTCGGGACACGTTTATTAACTGTTATTACATGCAAATATATACCGTACACCGTTTGTAGCCTACCAAGATTTCATACATCTACATATTTATTTTATTTACTATTAATTTTTAAATTTTTGAATTCAAACACAATTTTTTTTAAAAATATCATTTCTCTTTTTAAGCTTTAAAGCATTTCATGATTTCAACTTGTATATTACTCTGACTTAGACATTGGTTTAGGTCAATTTGACAGTATACAATAAGAAGGCGATGGTTCAACGAAATTTCGTCCAATATCGTTTGGTTACAGATTTATTCAATATCGCTTAAACCTATTATATACTTTTTTTAAAATCAAAACATTACCAATAATTCCTTAACCATTGTAAGTATCTATCAAGTTACGAGAAATTTTATTAATTAATGACCATTCTATAGGTAACCATCGTTTTATGATTCTTAATTCCGTTCATTACTTAATTTATATTAATAAAAAATGTTGAATATTTTTCCAGATAATTAAATACTATCGGACTACGTCGTTTTTGTTTTTTTTTTCGTTGGTTTTTTTTTTTTTTCAGTAAACAGCCAACACATAAATCAAACACAGCTGAGCGATGCAGGTAACAATTTGATCCGATCTGAATAGCTCTAAGTAGAATCCAATAACGCTGAGTGTCAACAAACAAGCTCAACGATTTTCGTGTTAAGTTATCGGACACATTTAACCTGGATAATGTAATGGCTTTGTAGGATCACCACTTCTAGTTCTTTTATAATCTTCATCAATATGCAACGATATTTGCTACTACAATAAATTATTACTAATCAAGCCCTTGAAGTATATATTATATATCTCTGTAAAAATAATTTTATTTTATATTTTAGCTACATCTTGTTCGTTCCAAAATATTCTACCTGAATGGACTGAATATTTTTTTTTATCATCCGAGTTAAAATAAAAATTAAATAACACTATGATTCGAACACATATATGTTTCAGTGAACAAATATGTCAAATTTTTGTCTGTTCAGTTTAATGAAAATCTGTTTCATTTTAGTATCCTAAAATATAAAGATATATAAATGTATCTATGATTGAGAATACACCATTTCATTTTTGTCAAACTATTCCTTCTTTCAAACGGTTCTGAATTTAATAATATTGTTAGAGGATTTAAAAAACAAAAGTTCTTTAACAAGAATGATCTACGAACATTTGGTATTTCTTGATTCGTTTCGTAGCCTGAGTAATTTAGACTAGTCTTAAACTGATATGGATATTCGGTTCAATTAATTATAACCTTAAATTACAAGCTTTAAATGGAATTATCAACATATTGATTTACAGTATTAAATTCTTGAGAGAGAATGCATGCAATTTCAACGGTATTCGCTTCGCTTTGACGACTAAATTGCAAGCTCGTGAGGGACAAATCAAGGCGAGGCGTCTTCCATTAGAGACGGCAATAAGACATTCCTTGACACCAATATATATATATATATATATATATATGTATATATATATATATATATATATATATCTGTGCATGTGTGTTTGTGTGTGTTAACGGCCTCTGTTAACGCCAGGTTATCATTATGGAATATTTTTTTTTTAATCCAATATTATGTATTTTGGTTAAAGTTGTTTATATTCTTGATTTTTTTTCACTTTTCTTTTGAGCGTTTGTTTATTTAAAAAGAATATTTATTTGTTGTATGATTAAATTTTATTGGTTTATTGGCAAATAAATGAGGATTTATCTGGTATTGCTTAGCAACGGATCGGTGATTGTTCTTGGCATTATTCCCTGGACTTGAGTACTTTTTAGAGATTTTGAGACTTAAGGGAGTGAGAATTTGGAAGCTTATTCGAAACATTCTGAATCAAATCACTATTAAACTTCACTTAATGTACAAAATGTAATTAAAATTGACTTACTTTTATTTTAAGACTAAACTCTATTTGTTAAAGTTTTTGAAACATATTTCAAAGATTTTAATATTAGACTTGTACAAATTTAATCTGTATGATATATATTTTTTTATATTTACGGAAATGCGTTATTTTTTTTAGAGTAAGCTACAGTTTCGTTAAGTTCCGTTGTGTTTATTAGGCACACGCAGTCATTCACAGACCAGTGACCACGAACACGTGTTCTGAAACGCCAATGGAAGTTTTACAAGAGCGATATAATCTCTTCAATTGTAACTTGTGTATCATGCAGCACACATTACATCTGTTCATTAGGATCTTGTTTCAAGGGTCGTTAATTCTTAATGCAACATGGTCGTGAAGACAAGACTTTCTCGTTTTAATTATTGTATTTACAAAAGACTGGTTAACGCTGCTACATATTAACTAGTCCAGCAATTAGGTCTTTTCAATAAAAAAAAAAGTTATTTAAATAAGTTTATAGTCCTAAAAACCGTAGCAGAATACGGTTATTACCCTCCATGTAATTAGCAACCTCTTTAAATAAAATTTATTGCGTTACTGAAAGGGACATAAATAATTATATAGCTATTAAATGAGTGATTGATTGATTCGTGGCGCTAAGGTCTAAACCTTGGCCTCATTACACCATTTAGTCGGTTGAGAAGTTTGTTATTAGAAATAAGGATAAAAAAAAAATATTCCACTAATGCAGTATTCAACGGTTATAAGTTTTATAAGTGCATAAAATAACTATTTATGATGACCATTAAAGGGATACATTTATTTATAACAATGGGGGCTCCTCAACCTTTAACGGGCCATTTTAGCCCTTACACAGCATTTATATTACATCAGATGAAATTTAACAATAAATTGAAAGTTGAAAGTATTTAAAACATTAAAATTTCCCAAAAAAAGAGTATGCAAAATTTAAATATTTTTATATAGGTGCGTTATTTGAAGGAATGTAAACAACTTTTTTGCCAGTTTGGTGGTGTTTTTCAAAATTTCAGTAATATCATTCTCCAGCTTCATTCCGTTCTGCTTCATAAGCATAACCTTCAGTCAAAATATGCCTCACGGTTAAATTGACTCCCCAGCAGAGACACTGAAGGGATATCCCCTTTGTCATTAGGTACTCATTAGTTAGCCGTGAGTGGCCGATTCGGAGTCTTGTCAGGATTATTTCTGGAGGTCCGATCGATTTGGAACTACAGAAGGCTCGATTACTCTGTTATTGTCTCTTAAACATGCCAGAGATCCTACCATTTCTTTTGGAAAAGTATCACCAACTGGAATTCCTTCCATTATTGCTTGTTTTGCCATGATGATGTCTACCTCGTTACCTCTAATACATGCGTGACCCGGTAACCACAAAAATTGTATCTTACATCCTACACTCTCCAATATTTTTATATGCCTAACTGTATCTTTGACTAATGAGTTAGTTAAAAATGAATTTCGAATAGCTTTAAGAGCAGATCCTGAATCTGTACAAATATAAATTTGCTGTTTATTGCAGTTGAGACTACAAACGGCACGACTTATTGCAACAGTTCTGTACAGTAGGGAGTGCAATAGGGAGGGTGGTAGTGAGGACATTTACACATTGTCAGAATCAACACAGAATCAGAATCACATTTTCAACAAAATCAACTTAAAGGTTTGAACTATATTTAACAGAAAAGAGTATCATAATGATATTATATTTATTTTTTCTTCTTGTCAATGATGAAAGAAATCTACTCCATTTTCTTTAAATTCTTATTTAGCGATTAAAAAATTCTAGCATTTTAAGCCTTACGTTTTACAACGATACTATTGTAGAGAATATATTTCTATTTCATGTTTTTTTTATATTGATCAGATTTTAAGATTCTCTTTGTTGTTATTAAAGAACAAGGCGAAGTATAATATCTAAGATGAAAGGTTTAATTATCAAAATCTGATTTTTTTTTCTTGTGCAAATATTATAATTTGTTTTACAAAAATTAATAACAGTATTAAATAACCAATTTTTCTAGTGAACTTTACATTTACATATATAATCATCTTTACGTTTTCTTATATATTATCATATCATATTTAATAGGAATATCCAAATAGATCATGAAATCCCTGTTTGCAAGAAAATTTTAATTTAATAGTAATGAGTTCAGATTTTCAAAATAGTTTGCAGCAGATTCCTATTAAGCGATTTTTTTTTTATTATAGTAGAACTTTGCAAATCAATTTAAATTTAAAATATTGTCTTATTAATGCTTTTTTTTTTTTAGAAACAGTGTGAATAGTATTAATATTTTAAATATTATTTTTCTTAATATCAAATTAAAAATAATTAAAAACTGGGAAGTGTATTTTTTAAAATTAACATTCATTAGGAAATTCATTGCTGTTTTGCCATAGTTGCTAGCTCGTTACCTCTAATACATGCGTCTAAAGACTAAAGGAAATGAATGTGTACATTTTAAACTTATCATAGACATTTTTCACTCTGTCAATGCTGCTAATTTAGCCTGATTCGGTTCTCTCAATTAAATATCCCATCCTGTTGAGTCTTGGAAAGTGAGAAATCCATATCGATATCGATATAATATTCCATGGAGAAAACATGATAGTTTATATTGCTTGTGAAAAATAGTTTAGAATAGTACAAATATTTGAACTTCATTGTAATTTTAAACAAAATAGAGGGGAATAACCTTAATTTTAAATGGCTATCATATCAAGAAAATAATTTTTAAAAATTAGTATTCAAGAACACAATCTCAATCCTATTGATGGCATTAGTGACAAGAAGTTGAATGGATCTTCGAGAGTTGATGAAGCCATCTTTATTAATCACTCTTTCCCCACAAGTCAGTCTGAATAATCATTTAGCTGATTCAAACGCTTCTATTATGAACATCTATAAACCTTATGTGTTCTCCTAATTAATGCAGGAAATTTGTATGAATTATGTTTATTACTTCTTAAGGTACATAAAGAGTTCAAATACAGTGCTAACATAGCTTATATGCTTTGGTATTTTTATATTAAAAAAAATATGAAACAATTATTTTAACAATAGAATTATCAATAAGGCATTTACTTCAATAAAACATTTATTTTTTACTCTGAAACTACATATATTCATTTAAACTTAGAAGGTTAGAGTAAGTTAAACATAAATGGTGAAAATCCCAGTTTATAGCCAACCTTCCGAAGAACGCACTAATTCTGTGGCTTTATTCGCCAAAAAGATTGAGTTAAAGCCTTTAAGAAATTAATAATTTCTTATATCAATTAAAAATAATTTAATAAACATAAATTAAATTAAATATCTTAATTTAGGAATTTATAAAAAGTTGTGAGACGAATCAGTCACATTTACACATCCTACCTCTATAACTAATTTTTCTATAGGCTAAAGAAAAAAATTGTATTTTTTTTTTAAAGTTTATTTCGTTTATGTTTTTAAAAATAATTATACGTCTAAATTATAAATGTATTATTATTTTGAATCATCGATTGGTTCAATTCTATTTTAATACTAAACTGCTAACTCTTAATTTTATCCAATCCAATATTCTTCTTTAACTACCATTGAGCGAATTGGACATGGTTACTTATAATATATTTTTAATGTTTCAGAATGCAGGTGACTACTCGAGACCGAATACGCCACATAAACAGGTACGTAAATTCATTTATATAATAATTTAATATTATATTTAAATATTTATATTGATATCATTAATTAAATAATTTGGCTTCTCTAGTCTTAAGCAGATACTTTAATTATTAGTCCGTGGTACAGGGCCCCACTTTATCAAATTATTAACATCTGCCTTAAACTTCGTAAATAGCTTCTTCTCATCGTAACCTACAACTATTTTATTTAAGAACACTCTGGGAATTGGGACGTTTTCAATCTGGAGGAGAGCAAACTTTGTCTATTTAATTAGATGCTAAAAACTCCTAAATACCCATTTGCTTGCCACTTGGATCGTAAGATAATTTTATCCATAAATCGATAAAAAAAAAAGGTGGCCTATAAAAATATTGGGTAGTTTGTCCTATATGACCTCGTTATTTTGACAATTTGGCGGTGTAGTTCACTCCAAACGGCTCAATATTTTCGAAGGGCAACTTTTTTCTCGATTTTGAACTAACATTATCTTACGATTCTGGTGGAAAGTAAATGGGTATTTACGAGTTTTTAGTACTTTATTAAATATACAAAGTTTGAATCCCTACAGAATGAAAACTCCCCAATTCCGAGAATTTTCGTAAATAAAATATTTCTAAGTTACGATGAGAAGAAGATATTTACGAAGTTTCAGTTGGATGGACCATTATCATGTTTTATGGGAATTATCTCAAGAATTCAGACAAATTCTTCTGTCTCTTAATTAGTAGTAAATATAAATACATCTCATCGACGTTTTACCAATTCAGATATAATTAGTACAGAAAATAACTCGACTATAGAATATAGTCATTTCATCTCACATCAACAGCCAAATATTGAGTAAACAAATAGAGATACTACATCACTTACAACATTTACGTATGTTGAACACATATCGATAAAACGTCCTTTAAGAATAACAAAACACTGATTTTTTTCCGAATTTCTTTTTTAAACTTTTTTTTAAATAAATAGAATAGTGTTTATTTCGCCTTATTTTAGCGCACTAACAGATGAAATTTTAATTTATTTTCTAGACTATGAGTAATTCAGAATAAAAATAAGCGATAGATTAATATAATTTAATGTGGGGGAGAACGCCTTGCATTGGAAGAAAATACGTGAAAATGTAACACATGAAGGTCATTTGGCCTGACAGGTGAGAAATGCTTGACCGGTGGGTGTGATAGTGTAAAGTACTGATAAGGTTTGAATGCTACTCCTCGTTTCCCTTGCACCTCCGGATCTGTCTATTCTATTTCATCTCACCCATCCTACACTAGAAACTAGATTATTTTTAACAAACCTGACAGATAAGTAATATTATGTTACTATATCATAATTTTTGGAAATAAATTTACGAACATACCAGACTGAAACGACAAGAAACCGCTCGACGTTTACGATTTCTTCAACACTTACTAGACAAACGCTCTAAACTTCCAATTAATTACAAAAGACTCATATGCATGGCTATGACAAGGCCTATTAGGACTTACGGAGTTGAGCTATGGAGCTGCACTAAACCATCGAATTCCTCTCGTTTCCAATCCTTACAATCCAAAATCCTTCGTAAAATCCTCAACCCTCCCTACTTTGTTACAAATTAAACCACCCATAATGTTTCTTATGTTTCAGATCTGGTCCAATCCAGATACCTATCCATCCATAATAAACTTCAGAATCATCCTAACCCTCTCGTTTCTAACCATGCTTCCTCTTCAATTCCTGATAACCCTCCGAGGCGTCTGAAAAGAAGATGGCCCCGTGATTTCCTTATGTAGACATATCATTAGAGTGCTACCATTGGGTAGTTACTCAGCAAGTGTTTTCATGTCATGATATCCATTATGTTCAAATTTACTCTATGTATTTATTTAATACAGTTGTAAATAACATTAAGAAATAATAAAAAAAAATAGCTTTAACAATGTCAAATTCTACTTTCTTTTAAAACAAATTTAGTCAAGAGCAATGTTTAATTATTTAAATAAAATATTTTTTAAGTTATCTCTTCCTATTGAACATAAAACGTGACCTGTATAAAAAACCTAAATCTTAAATTTCCTACTCTTCTACTGGTTTATATAAACTTGTTTGTAGAACTTGATGTGTACTTTTTATCATTTTTTAAATGCTTATTTTATTGAGAAAAATACATTTTGCCTCAATCAAGGACATTGACTATTGATGTGAGAAACTCATTCTTACAATATATACAATTACAAAAATAATAAAAAAAAATAAGAAAAATAAAGCTTATTAAAACAGATGAAATAAAATATGAAGCAACACAAATTTTAAAAAATGAATAAATAAGAAAGAAAAAAATCATGATTATTTACAATATTTACAGTCAACCGAGGGAGCTCCAATTCGGGGCCTTTTCCCCCATGTGGAAGATAAGACAAGAATCTAAGAGATCCCAGAGCTTCTCTCTCAGCCGCATCACTAAGATGGGGATTCAGTGGAGACTGAGAAAGGGCACTAAAGCCATATACGGTCATTACTTGAGTGAAGAAGCTGGCCATTACCATGATTCCAATGAAGTATTTACAAAAGATCTCGAGGCCAGTGGCTTTTTAACCTTCGAGGAGGATTTTAGGGATGGCTGCAGCTGAAGAAGGGTTGTGCTAAGGGATTAGGATGATGGATTAGGTTTTGATGAAAATTTGAGAAACGAGATGGAATAACGTCAAGGACATAAGGGCTGTTAAGGTCATGATGTAGAGTTTTATTTTTAACTTAATAAGGAGCATTTAATATTGTACGAAGGACTTTAGACTGGAAGGATTGGATGCGTTTGATGTTCGAATGATGTGTACTATCAACCTTTTAAATATTTATCTCTGCTTACAGGACACCCTATAAGCATAACATAGATAAACCATTTAATTATATTACAAATGTACTTTCAAATATACAAATGCTTGAAAATTTTAGTTGGTAAGTGACACTTACAAAAATTATAAGACAAAGCCAGCTGATTCGTACTTTTCGTAATTTACTGATTCGTAAATTATCCATTTTCACTTTATATTTTTCCTAATTTTTATTTTTCTTCCTAAACTACACAAAGTAAGGCGATGGGTCAAATATAAATTTAACCCACCGCCAGAAGAGCGGCATTTCACGTTTCATGTTCGTAACTTTTTCCCTTAACTCCTGGCTAAAATTATTTCTCAGTTAGAGCTACTGAGCGGAAAAATTCTTTGTATGAAAAAAAAAAACCAAATGCGAGGCAGTGGTTGCCGAGGGTGTTGAACAAACTTTCTGCCAGATTCTCAATCGTTTACATTTCATGGAATACCACTTCGAAATTCAAATATATTTCCATATCCTCTCTCTGGTTAGTACAGGTTGGTTATTTTTTTTTTATTTACACCGTACTTCCTAATCGTATGGATCCAGAGGTATCTTTTCGGAGAAGAAGAGGAAGCTATCTGGTTGATTACAGAATTTAGAGTAAATTTAACTTTGTCTTGGGTAATAAAATCGTAATAAACCATTGGTGTACCTATATTTGACCTCAAACTATTTAAAATCGATTGTCAAAGAATTATATTAAGTAATCAATGCGTGCATCAATAAAAAATTTGGTAATCAATTATATCAAGATATTGATGCATCTATAACGGAGTTTATATTTTATTAATATCTAGTTTCTTTACTATTCAATCTTAATTCGTATTAATAGAGAGAATGATTAATAAATGCTATATAATTGACTATTTTATATTTAGTGATGATATTTTTTGCTTTCCTAGGGATTTCTTTAATGTGAAACTCTCCTAATCCAAACTTTTTCCACATCCTCTTCCTCGGACGGTCCTCTACCAGCCTTACTCTCCACCACTTTATTCTTCCATCAAACTGGGGAGTTATTCTAAGCATTTAGCCTTAGCCTTCTATTCCATTATCAACTTAATTTTCCTATTATCATTCATCTGTATCTCATGAACATACCATCCTCATTCTTCAACCACCATTCTTTTACTTCAAATTTCTCGATTGTTTTTTTACTTTTCCGATCCTTGCTATTCTAGCTGCTCTCATCCAAAATTTCACTGAAGTCCACTACAAGGAAATTTTTTTGTTGGGCCAAGCTAAGTGATCACGTGTCCAACCCATATAACATTAGACTTTTTACCTATACATTATCAATTTTACCATCATTTTAGATATGTTTTATGCTGTTTGCTGTTGTTATGCCTTTTTCGATTTCTGTATCCATTCTATAATTACTTTGTACCGGCGGATCTACGGGAAAGGGGGGGGGGCTTTGGGGCTGAAGCTCTCCACAAAATGGTAAAATATAACCATGTTTTATGAAAAACAATATTAAAAAAATATCTCTTAAAGTATTATTGTTCGTGTAATTACATTTAAAAGGACTTTAGTACTCACTTAAATACTATTTCATATAGATAGTTCTTTTTTTTTTCAAAGTAATTATCGTTATTTTTATGGAAAAAAAAGCTTTCGGGCTGAAGCCCCCCAAAAAATTAAATCCTGGATCCGACAGTGTTACTTTATATCATGCATTGATCCACTTTACTCAGCTTCCCAAATGTTGAGTCGTTGCTCTCTTCTCTTCTCTCTTCGCGCAAACTTTAATGTAATTTATTGAATACTTAATAGTTGACCGTTGCATTACAAAGAAAGACAATGGTCCGGGGTGGCGGTCATAAATAGCCTAAATAGTGGAAAAACTATTTTATTAAAAGCCAACGTTTCGACCCGACTTTGCAGATCTTCTTCAGGGAGATGTGTTCAGCTAGGAGTTTCACTTAAAACTGAAGTTAAGTGAAGCTCCTAGCTGAACACACCTCTCTGAAGAAGACCTGCAAAGTTGACTTTTAATGAAATAGTTTTGCCACTATTTAGCCTATTTATGACCGCCACCCTGGACCATCTTCTTTCTTTTTATTGTAATTTGTGTTAAGAACTCCTTGTTCGTACTAGTCAATTATTTTTCTGAATAGGTATTTGATACCCTCTCAACATGTGATATTATCAGCAAATAATAAATGTCATAGATTTTCCTTCTAAGTGGACAATTAAGTAGATTATGGAAAATTTGACATATAAATGAATTTCAGATAAATGTTAAATGAAGACATAAATTAAAAAAATATATATTAATATATTTCTATCATAGCATTCATCATCGAAGATGACAATTAGAAGAAGGTTCTTGTATGTAACGCTTAATAATGGTTTTAGGGATATTCTTAATATTTCTTAATTAATTATTATTATTAATTATTAATTAATATTTCACGCTCTGAACTCAACTTATAAATATGGTTTATTTACTTTCTTTTTCCGAATGCGGAAAAGCCTCACATTATCCGGAACGTCATATTATCTCTGGAAGCCCCTTAGGAGACGTTGTAACATCAGCGACACCTTGATGGGACGGAAGCCCCCATTGCTTGCACCCTCAGCTCCCCCCGAACTGGAAGTGTAAAACCGCTCTCAATGCAGGTCCCTAATTATCGAGAGGAGGTACACAATGGAAGGCAGCTGCCCCAATAGCCCGCTCCATTAGCCGTGGATGGAGCACGTGGCCGTGGCAGGAATAGAGCTCCCACCTGGCCTTCCACCGCGGTTGTCTCTGCCTGGCTGTCGGCTATCAATGGATCCAAGCATCCTCCAATCAGCACTGATTTGACTTGTTAACCTTCCCGCGATCCTTGATGAATGTTCTTATAGAGATCCGAGTATGCAAATATTATTCACCGAACATTCGCGTTACAATAACGTTATCAAGCTTCGAATACTTGTACTTTTGATACTTCACTTATTGATATGTTGAAAAGGCTAAAGAATAAACGGGATAAGTATATTTCCTTTTTTTTTTTTTTTTTGGTCCTCCCCTTCCTCGCCTTAAGACTATTCCGGATTTTCCCGGTCCAGGGGATTTAAAAGATTCCCCCGGCACCGGGACGCGAACTCGTGACTATTTTAAATTCATTGTCTCATATATCAGGTTGCCGGGTAACTGCGGTGCTGTGCACACAACGTTATACCGTTCGGCCACCCCATCCAATATATTTCCCGGTATAATTACTTATGTTTTCCTCAACGTCGTAGAGTAATAAATTAAAACCACCATCAGATAATATTTCAATGTTGGGATTTGTTGTTCCTAAATATATATATATTTTTTTTTTACTTGGATTTGTCTACATTTTAAGGAGCCATATCCCCAACAACCAAAAGCCACTCCTCTCTGCCCATCCAATCTCCTCCAATCCAAGCCCTCTGACTGCCATGCTTTCCTCCACGTCCTCTATCCATTTCTTCTTTGGCCTTCCACGCTTCCTTCTTTCAGGTGGCATATAGTTATAAATATGTTAGTATATATATATATATATATATATATATATATATATATATATATATATATATATATATATATTATATATATATATATATATATATATATATAGTATATATATATATATAGTATATATATATATATATATATATATATATATATATATTATATATATATATATATATATATATATATATATATATATGTGTGTGTATGTATTGAGAATTAATATGTTAAAAAGTTGTTTAAAATATAGTCAAGTATAAGGACATCTTGTTGATATTTATGTTCTACGACTGTTATATAGTCAACATGCTGATGGGACAAGAGGCAGTATCGAGAGGCATGGCATCAAAGAAATTCGTTTACTGTTGCTTGTATAACTGTTTTACATTTCAAAAAGCCAAGCTCATTGTGATCTATCCAGCAGTTGGGCCAGAACCAACTTGCTAAACCAAATATTGATTGTAGAATAATATCACGGTCATTCATATTGCTTTTTGGATATTTTAGGAGCTACTGAACAAAATATTTATCCAAAATCGAATTATGTAAATCAAAAATAGTGGAACGAGCTATTGTAGTTTATATGCAATCCAAACAACAAGCTGTCGTCACGTTACGTTTTTACTTTCACTTACCTATATATGCAATATGTAGTAAGGGAAAGTATTGCGATCGTGAAAATTTTCGAATCTCAGTTTTCAACGTAAATACATATTTTGAGGTCCTCTGTATCGAAATAACCAAGTCTCGCAAAATGGTCTCTGTGTGTGATCAGCGTTGCTCAAAAACAAAAAGTCAGAAACTTAAGTTGTGTATTTAAGGTTTGTATACGGTTGCGATGTGACAAAAACTTTTTTGTTAAAATCGGATGACCGGAATTTCCACCTTATATCATCGATTTTACACATTTTTACGATTTTTTCGAGAATGTAAAGCTTGTAATTTCAATAAATGTAATTGATAAATTCATTCTTTCTGAATAAACATAGTTTTCTTGGAATTGGTCTTGGAAGTATACGCATCTAGAGTTGTGATTAGATGAAATAAACAAGAAAAACGTAACAATATAGTTTTTTTTTTTTAATTTTCCTTTACGTACTTCAATTTGAAACACCCTAACTAGTGGTAATATAAGTCGTAGTGGAAGTTTATAGCTCCGAGTCCCATTTCGGTCATAACTGCCAACTGTAGTAAAAGTAATTTCTGAATTGATATATGGTTTGGAATGGGGCGTATTTCTTCATAAAGCCAAATAACAATACATGTTAGGTGTTCGACTTCGATTTAATACACAATCATGCGTGTAATGTAATGTGACATTGCGAATTAAAGATAATTATTATTACTACGAGAGATTTCTTACTTCAAGAATATTTAATTTCTAATGAACGATGGTTGTGGAAGTATGTAAAATTCTCACAGGAAAATAAATAAATAATAAATGAATGATAAAAATTGAATTATAAATAAATAAAACGAGGAGATGTAATAAGAACAGCTTATATTAAATACAAAATAAAAATAAAGAGTGTATTTGTTTGTGTTTGTATTTTCACATTTTGTATAAATGATAGATGATAAACCGTTGCTTATTTGGATATGACATCGTATCAATGATTCATTTTATTATTTTCACTAGAATAATCGTTTCGTATCCCATGAATAATGAAGGGAGAAGATAATAATGGCCGGAAACGCACGAAGCTCTTCATGGCAGAGCTAACTAAAAGCGAATTTGAGCCGGTTAAATGTTAACTGGCCCGATCTAGCGTATAATTGCGAGATTACTTGTAACTAAGGTGATTGATGTCCAACCAACCAGTGAGAACAGATTCTGTCAGGGTTCACTCTTGTGGAAGAGTTTTACACCACTAACCAACCCTGTTGCTCAGATTTTCTAATAATTGCTTTCTATTTGTTGAAAACAAATAGTTTAAAAAGTAATTTATCAATATCATCTTTTTTAATTATTATTTAATTGATCACGAAAATTTAAATTTTTTTTTGAAAATTTAAGTTCTAACTAGGAAATATCTAGAAAACTGGGATTGAGGTTTTTTTTTTTGTTTTTTTTATTCTAACCCATTTTTAAATTTAAACTTTTTGATGAGATTATTTGATAAAAGAAATGTTTTTATTTCTTGAAATAATTCAACTGAATCCCAAAATTTAATTTTGTTTTGAAACATTTGAATGTTTTGTCCCGTTAAATTTATTGATAAATCCTTAAATTTAATTGTCTTATAAATTCAAATATTCTATTATATTGTAACTTCAAATTTACCTTAATAGCTAAATTGTATAAGTGCTAAAACGTCCCTTGTCAAGTTTAAAAGCACGCATTGTTATAAATAAGTAAATTTGATTGAGAACATTTTTTTTGCATAAATAAATATTGAAACGAACCAACTACGTCTAAATTATGAGCTATTGTGGTTATAGAAAATTATCAGGTTCTTTTCAGTATGTAAAAACAATTGTTTTAATAATTTCTATATTTCTTGTGGGTCTCAATCCACTAGCAGATTTGGAACTTTCTGGATGAAGGCCTTCCCCAAAAATAGAATAAAACTTTTTTGGTCCCAACTTGTTTCCATGACAGATTACAGCGCACTGCTGAATGAATGAGGGTATATAAATACCTTTTACGCAAATGTAATTAACAATATTCCCATATAACATAATAATTAATTTAAAAGCAATAGAAAAATCATAAATAAAATAAAATAATCCAGCATTGCGAAACAATAGAAGGAAAACCCCTCTCCCATTGACTATCCTCACAGAACAATATAAGCTAGTCCCTCCAGAAATGACTTAGGGGAAACTCTTAAATATCAGGCACTTTCTCTGAAAAATTAATACATACAGTAATAATCAATAACTAATGGAGGACTCAATAAGATATTAATAAGTTGTTTATAATGAGTAAAGTTACGTACATGAAAGGTTTAAAAAATATATAAATACAATTCTATGTTTATTGAAAATGTTATGACATGGATCGTTAGAGAAGTTAATTATGTGAAATATTAAAAAAAAATTTGTAAATGTTAAATGTTAACTAATAATTACATTACTATTTTCCAGACTTGAAAATGGCCATAGTGATGGTCGAAACATTGTAATAAAATAGGTAATAAATAAAATGTTGGTGAATAGTGGCCTAATTTATATAACAAATAAAAACCCAAAATTGGATCCCTAAAATCAATATTGTTTCTGTATTACCGTTAAGAAAAAAAATTAATCTTCCCTTAAATTAAATCCTGAATATTGTCTTGACCTGATTTTATTAATTAAAAAAAAGAAAATTATGTGAATCTTATTTTGCCTCAAGATGGCGGATGGTAGTTTAATATTTCCAAATACTTTTTTTAAGGTTCTAAATAACAACTGTAATTAACAGAGAATCGAGTAGGTACTCCTCCCGATTCCAAAGGCGGACAGCCGTACTTTAAGGATGTTAAGACCTAGTCTATACGTGCTCTTAATTTTTCCCAGCGCCCTTTAGGTGAGGGAATCACCTCCCTAGGCTGATCATATTATATAACATATTCTATCTCCACCACATACTCATTTCCACCTTTTCTCATATGGAACCTGGGGCCAGTTTTACCTATATGTTAAAAGGCCTTTTGACACTGAGTCGATCACCCGTCCAGGGGTATTACTGATTCAAAAAGTCAAAAGTAACCTGAAACTGGACAATTGAATATTCAAGCAATCTAAGGAAAAAAGGTTGAGTTTGAAAAGAAATATTAAATACAACAAGATTACTGAAAGAAAAATTCATTTTCGTTACTCTGATATTATCAATTGATAAATAATTAGAATTTATAGTTTTAGTCATCTGGATAAAATTTCAAAAGACTATTATGATTCCTACTTTATGCAGTTCGTAACTTATTATCTACTTAAATTAATAAGTTATATTAAAATGAAATCTGACTATAGGTATATTTGGAACTATAAATATGAAATGCAATGTCATGATAACTGTTAATTATCTACCTGAGATAAAGAAACATTACCTCGCACCTTTATTGACCACGTCAATCAACTTAATGAAAAATGCTTAAGAAATGCTATTGGATTTAAAAATAGATATAATCTGTCAGTAAATATGTCTCAAAATTCTAGAACTACTTCAATAGAGTGTATTTACTTTTTATAGATTTAGGACAAAGCTTAATAACATCTCTTATTTTCATTCCTTACTGCAACTAATTTGACTTTAGTAAAATGTTTTAAAAATAAACATAATTTCAAAACTCTGTCATTAAAAAGATCATCAATATATTATTTATTATATCGTGTCTAATAAACAAAACTCACCATCTTGGACATGTCATTATGAGAAATTACACTTGTTTAAAAAAATAATGGAATACAAGTAACATGAAGGTTGTACATCTACTTTGTAGAAGGGAGAGAAATACTTTGTCATAAAATAATATCACAGGAGGAATAGGTACAAAAGGGTATAGGCTCTTTCTGATGTAACGCCATTTATTTATTTTTTACGATTAATTTAATATACGTCGTTATAAATATATTTTCCAAACGTTTTGCTTCAAATATTACGGTTCGTCTACTTTGATTTTAAGACTCTACAGCCGTTCTATACTGAATTTTTTTTCGTCACTAATTCATTCTGTAGCATATGGGTGGTCTCCTAGGTAATCCGTGAAATTGCTATTGAGGGTGACATATCCGTTGCAAATTGTCCACTAACTATACTATTAGAATGGTATGGAATTATCTTCTAGTCACGCACTAATAGTCGGAATGTTTTGTTCTCCTATTGAGGGTGTGACATATCCATTCTAAATTGTGCTTTAACTATACTATTAGAATGGTATGAGTTCGTCTTCCAGACCATCAGTTATGGTGTGAATGACTCGTTCATTATTATGTTTCACATAATAAATTTATTTCATCAGACGTCCATAAAAAATCTATGTCTTTAGAGTAATTGTTTTAACGATCATAAGAGACTATTCACTCAATTTCAGCTGCTAGTAAATGTTAGTTGTAGTTCGAAGCATTTAAAATGTAATTTCTTCCACTTAATAAAATGAGAATCTGGAAAATGGAGGCACGTCTCACTGTCTCAATTATAGATCATAAGCTTCGAAATGCTTTAATAAAAGACTAAACGGACAAGGGAAACTTCTTTAACGATAAGCGAAAAAAAATGTACAATATATGTCCTCTTTAAAGACAAAGACATAGTAAGATTGATGTTGGTCGGAAAGCTCAGCTGAAGAGGACATATTGCCAGATGTGATAAGATCAAAATCTCCTGAAATTGGCCAAGGAGTCTGGTCTCTGAACTGGAAGGATAGGAGAGATCAACCCAAGATGCGTCGATAGGGGCGACAGATATCCCAATGGTACGTTTCGCCGACCCTATCTGGAAAGAATTTGTTATAAAAAAACTAAATTGCTAATTCCAATGGAGCAGATCTTACTTCTGTAATAATTTAATAATCACAGAATTAGGATCTTACATTAATTGTAACACTAATCTAGTTATCATTCATGAATTATTTTTAGGTATTGGCTGTTGCATTTTATGTTTAATTTTTGTTAGAACACTAAGAATTATGTTTCAAGAACTATGGGTTGAGGCCTTAAAATGTACGATAAAATATGATTACTTAACAGGCAGTTTAAGTACTAAATTCAAATTCATAGTTACATGATATTTATTTTAAGATATATTCAAATTGCTCCAATTTACTCCTAAATGCCCTTTTCATTCATGAATACCTACGAATGGTTAACAATATACAATCATTATTAACTTGGAAAAAAAATTGAATAAATGTAATCTTTACTTCAGAATGCTGGTAAACAAACTCAATATAAATATAAAAAAATTAAATAAATCCTCCACTGTGAAAAAATACATACATTTAAATTGTATTCCGCTGCTGGAAGATATAAATGAAACAATTTAAAACTGAACATTAATTATTATTTTCATGTTAGTATTACAGCATGTCAGGTGTCGGTAGAGGTCATTGTGTTGGGACCCAGGCTCCTAATTACGAGTACGGCTTGTTCAAACAGGAAATTAAATCAATACTCCTTTAATTATGGAAGACCTTCAAGAAAATCTCTTTAAAAACAATACATGTTTTTAGAGAGCTGCTACAAAATAATAATAAATAGAAATGGTGATAAAATTTAATGAAACTGTATTGTATTTCAAAATTTTAGATATTTTATAGACTAAAAAAAATATATCAATGTTCAATAAGTTTTGTTTCCCTTTATAGTAAGTCCTTTAGAGTTGCTATTTATTAATTTGAAATACGCTTGAATAAATAAATTACTTATAAAACCATTATAGTCTGTTTGAAGAGAGCTGTTAAAAAATAAAAATTAAAAAATGGAGATGAATGAATCGTTTATTCATAGCTAAATTATTGAAGGTTTTACATTAAAACGATGTTATAAATAATAATAATAAAATTTTTAATAAAATGTTTTTGTTTCTTTCTCTCTTTATGATAAGGCCTAAATTGAGAACTATAAGAAAGAGTAAAGATGTTTTATAACCCTCCTGCTCGCCTGAGTATGTGCATTGAATTTATGGAGTAAATAAAAATTAAAGGAAATGGAAATGAATTTATAGAAAAATTAAATAGAATTTAAAAACATTATTTATTTAGAGCTATTCTTTTATCACTATTACTATTGCCCTTAGATGTGACAGATTGTAATATATCTCAATAAAGAATTTTCAAAAAAAAAAAATTGTTTAAAATAAGAAAAAATCAAGAAACAATGTCAAAGCTTCGGTTATAAATATCCTATTCATTACCAAATCGGTCAAGTTCACATTGAGAGTTTAACTGTGCGTAAAATGAAGTATAATAAAAAGACTTGCATGAAAATAAATCTTGTGATAGAAAACGTAATAATAATGAATCTTAACGATGTGTGTCCCGATTTGTTATTTTGAATACAAGAAAAAAAATTATAATTTAATGGTTTCATTAATTATTTAATTAATTAATTAAATTAATTCATTCATTAAATACAAATATTAATTGTAATATAAATTTTAAAATGTTTTTTTCGGGCTCAGAGGGCTCTGAAATATACAGATCCGTCAAATACCACTCATCGGAAATTGACCCGATCGCAATACTTTCCTTACCTAGTAATGCTAAGAAAGAAAAAGAAAAAAATACCTTGATTTTGTATGTTCAACTTTTTCAGTATTGTGTCACCAATGACTTGAATTATTATATTGCAACTTCAATAATAATCGTTCCTTTATTAATGAAAAAATTGTATGAATTGACCTCACTTTACCTTTATATTCTGTGGTATAGACCCTTTTCATCAAATTATTAACATCCACCTAAAACTTCGTGAATATTATCGTAACCAAAAACTTTTTTATTTAAGAAAATTCAGGGAAATAAAACGATTTCAATCTGGAGATCGGTGAACGTTATTGAGGAAACAAAAACTCACGAGCTTTCGAATTGAATCAAAATGTTATCTTGTCACAAAAGCGAGTAAAAAGGTCGCCTATAAAAATATTGGGTCGTTTGGCGTGACCTCCATCCCTAACTTGTCAGAATAATGAAGTCATGTGAGCCAATAGTTTTGTTTGGATGTCATATTTTTTCTCGATTTTTTTATAAACTTTTCTAACCATTCAAGTTTAATGCTTAAATATGTGTTTTAGTACCTATAAAGAACATTCAGTTTTAGTACCTATAAAGCACATCCAGCCTTCATAAAAGTTCAGACAGTTGAACGTAAAAGTGCATCGCGCCTCATAGCATAACTATTGGCCATTTGTATGCATGTTTAAGAAGAGATTTTATGAAAACAGGCCAAAAAGATAAGCGTTGTTGCTGACGAATGGTTGAGCTCAGAGTACATAAAGGGGATTCGGCATTATTAACCAGAATATATTTATAGCGGGTTGATAAAATATTCCATCGCCTTGAGTACTTAGTATCTACAGCTAGGATCGACGAATCGATTGAGGCTGGTTCGTGCCTACACCCTCGTGATCATCACTGGAGACCTCCTCTAATAGCCGCCAGGCGCTCCCAGATAGCCGGGATAAACAGACCATTTTCCCAGGGCCGGGTCGTTACCTTCTCTTTAAATTTTCAAATTATCCTCCCCTCCTTTTTACTATTCTAATGGATTTTTTTCTCGAGATCTTTTCTCTTTGATATTTTTTATACCGGGCCGCCGCTAAGCCGCCGCCTAGAGGCTCCAACAGACATTCGACAAAAAGAGGTCATTAGACAAATCCCAGGTCATCAGTCATTACTAACCCGCCGGTTTGGTCGTTACCGGCTCTGGCCACGACCCATCGCGCATATCATCCGCTCCTTCTTGCTCTGCACCTTCTTATCTAGGAGATGGATAGGATGCATCTACTTCTCTGGGGCGCTCTTATAGATAAGGGAAGAGGGAATTGTTAAATCTTGTCCTAAAGGCACCTTCAGGTAGACTGGAGGTTTTTTTACAGGGCTAATGTTTCATATTTTAATATAATGCTTCAACTTCAAATATAATAGAATATTAAAAAAAAATAAACCACAAAAATATATTTATATGTTTTTTACCATTAAAAATGATCATAGAGAATACGCGGATTGTCGGTAACATCATTACATAACAGTTACATTACTTTAAGTTATTTTATTTTCACCTCTTATATTAACAGATAATCAATAAATTGTCTAACTATTTATATTTTATATCATACCAGACTTAAACGACAAGAAACCGCTAGACGTTTCCGATTACTTCAGCACTCTCAAACAAACGCTCTAAACTTCCAATTAATTACAAAAGACTCATATACATGACTATAATAAGGCCTATTTAGCCTTACGGAGTTGAGCTGTGGGGCTCAACTAAACTATCAAATTTCTCTTATATTCAATCCTTACAATCCAAAATCCTTCGTAAAATCCTCAATGCTCCCCTACTTTGTTACAAATAAAACCACCCATAATGACCTTAATGTTTCTTATGTTTCATACCTGGCCCATTCCAGATACCTATCCTTCTATAATAAACTTCAAAATCATCCCAACCGTCTCATTTCTAACATTGCTTCCTCTTCAATTCCTGATAACCCCCCCTCCCCCCAAGGCGTCTGAAAAGAAGATGGCCCCGTGATCTCCTAATGTAGACATATCATTAGAGTGCTACCATTGGGTAGTTACTCAGCAATTGTTTTCACATCATTGTATCTATATGTTCAAATTTACTAGATGTATTTCTTTAATACAGTTGTAAATATCATTAAGAAATAATAAAAAAAATATTTTTATATAAATACTTAATTATTTTCAACCTAGCCCTGTATTTTATGCAATATGTTCGATATTACTGTGATAGCAACTCAGTACTGCATCTCTTTAAGCAACTCGATAATTTGAAAATTTAAATTTCAAGAATAGTTAAAATAATCTAAAGAAAATTAAAAAAAAAATTAATAGAATAGTTTTACTTTAAGATTAAATTAAGTGTTACTTATTTTTATTCTTTTATATATATAATTATTATTTCCTGTTCCTCAGCCTATCGATGATTGGCCGGAGACGCCGCGGGCCAGAAGGAGGGACTCCGGGATGGACCTCTCCTACATCACCGAGAGGATCCTGGCGCTCTGGTTCCCTGGCGAGGTGACTGCGGCGGAGTTCAGGGCTGGCCACCAGCAGACCGCGCACATGCTCCAGTCCAAGCATGGCTCGGGCTACATGGTAAGTCTCCAATGGCACAATATCTCCATCTCACATAATATCTCTACTGTTAAGATAAATTACCTTTAGTGATAGTGAATTATTTCCTTTCTAAAAGAGATTTAGAAATTTCTAATGAAATTTGAAATTACACTAACAAATTAGGGGTGTTCGTAATCTTTTCTACCAATCTGAAATTTCAAGTTCATTTCCAGTAGGTAATATGAGATAAGTAAGTAAGACATTTGTGGCGTGACAGAGGTGATTATGTTATTGCCTAAAACAGCGATGTTTCACAAATCAGAGACAAAATTTTCATAGAAGTGATGTCCAACGAGTAGGAAGGGATCAATTTTAACCTGTTACCTAGCATATCCAGGATTTCATATAAAAAAATTTATAGAAACAATAATGTTTCTTTTTCTTGTTTTTTTTATTGAATATTATTACATTCTGCCACATTAAAGGGCATTAATATTAAAGCTGCATGAATCATTCACACAATATGTACATACAAATAATAACTAAGATTTAGATAATAAAGAAAAGGAATAAAGAAAAATAAAATAAGTAAATTGATATGCCTGTGTATAAGAAAATGAAATAATAGATCAAAACTAAATGAAATTAAAGTAAATAAAACACATTCACACCTACATATAATAAATAATGATTAAAGGGATATTTTTTCTTGGTACATGCTTAAAGAAAATAGTTGTGTATCGGATATAATTTATAAAGAGAATACGTTGATTTTTTTATTAATATTTACCTTATATCATTAGAAAATTCAAAAACAAACCAATGAAAAAAATATTTTCCATTTTGAAAGGGCTTCTGTGGAAAATGTCCCAAGGTGGATCCGCAATTGATCCGTTTATTACGTTAAATCATTCAATTTTATTCTACAGATGATGTTTATCCAGCACTTAGCCAACTCCTTTTTATTTTACAGTTTTTGCTGTGATAATTTATTAAAAATACATATTGATTTACTTAATAACTTATATTAACTCCCTTGATTTAGTATTATTCTAATGTCATATTAGTTAAGGTTTATTAATTTTTTAAAAAATTATAATGAATAATTTTTAATTATACTGAGAGAGTAAACAAAACGAAAATGTACACATTCAAGACTTTCTTACAAACCAGGTATGTCTTATGCACAATTTATATATATATATATATATATATATATATATATATATATATATATATATGTGTGTGTTTAATTTTACTAAATATAAAAATTTACAGATTTAAATTTTCAATTAAAATAGTCCATAAAAGAGGAGGAACTAAGTTTTGGCCACCTGTTGCTTTATGTTTGAAAAGAAAAGCTAATATCGCAGAATGGACCATTTCAAAGATTTATACAAACATTTGAGGAGGAAAAGTGCAGACATATTTTAGGATATTTTATCTTTTATACCGTGATTCCTGAACTTTATCTCTTGCTAAAAATAATACTTGCATTTACTCAGAGCTCCTGTATTTGATTCGAATATCTATTGTATTTTCCGTTTTCAACCTCATTATTTTATAATAATGAAGAGGCTTATCTCTTTTCACAATTCGTATTCTAACATAATTACAACAAGGAATTACATTTTATATTTTTATAATGTTTTTCTTAATACGTGAGTGTTTTTTTAACCAGAACAAAAAAAAAACATCTATGGGATCAAAATGTCCTTTAAACGGATGATTGATATTTGCTGAATAATTAGTAAACACAGAATGAAAGTACTAAACATTCACTTTTTTTTTTTTTTTTGTTTTTTTTTATAAAATTAGTATTGATATCATGGAAAATATTTTAAAAACATGGTTCAAGTATTTTTAAAATTAAGGAATAAAATTCAACGCTAAGCTGATAATTATCTTTTTTTTTTTCAAAATAGTCTCATTCTTCAAAAGATTTTTTTTAAAGAGTATTCTTAAAAAATATATACATAATCAAATGAGAGTTGGAAATAATTTTTTTAATTATATCTATAATTTTGAGATGTTTTCAGTTTGTGAAAGTTATTTCAAACATCAAATCAAACGTTTAAGCGAATTTCTGATAATTAACATTTCTTACGAAACATCAGGAAAGTAGGAGTATTATTGATCTGTACAGTATACAATCATATTTGCTAAATAATTTAACAAAGTAAGTCGAGTAAGGTATTGTATTATTGCTTTTTATTTTTATTTTTATTTTTTTTGTTTCTTATCTAAATCGAATGAGGCCACCCTCATGTTAACAAAGTTAATATTTATGTTACGGACAATTTTATATAGATAACATGAACGATATTATTTATTAACAAACTAATTAATAACTAGCATATCTCTAAGAAAACTTACTTATCAGATAACTCATCTGTAATGCATTTGAATTATAAGCGATGTTACGGAAAATTTTTATATTTAATACTTAATAGCTTACCGTTGTATTTTAGAGTAAGGAGATGGTCCGGATTTACGGTCATAAATAGACTAAATAGTGGCAAACCTATTTAATTTTAAGCCAACGTTTCGACTTTGTAGGTCTTCTTCAGGGCTAGAACGGACAAGATACAAAAGGATATAGAAAATTGTCGAAGTTAGGTAATATTTAGATAACAATTATAAACAGTGTGAATAAACTTATAAAAATATTAAACAGTTAATACATTGAGATATTAAGAAAATTAAACTATGTAAACAGAGTGAATTAAGTAATAAGATCATAAACTGAATTAAATAAATGGTAGTAATTGTTGTATTATAATATATGCAATTATCAATATACTCCTACAGATCTCAAGGAGATATAGGAGGAAAAGGGTAAATAATATGAAATAATGGACGTAAAGGGATGTGAAGAAAGAAAAAATATATAAATAAATACAGTAAAATAAATTAAAATAAAAAATAGAGACTTACAATTGTACTAAGCAAGGAGTTTTAGTTACAACTGGGGAACTATGGGCAGAGAACCCTTGGGAAAATTTACTGACCTGGTTGGAGAGTGGTGAGATTATAAGTAGTAAAAATAAAACATTACTTGGAATATTGGAAGATTAATTAGTATCTAAAATTTAAAGATATTGATGGATACAAGAAAAATACGATATCTATGAACAAATAAATTATTTATATACACATATTCATAGAATTAAGAAATTATAGATAGAAGTACATTGTGAATAAAAACAAAAATAAAAGAAGTAAAACTTATATAGAAATAAAATATAAATATAAAAATAAGAGAAGAGCATACATTGCAGAACTAATTTAGAAGTATTGAGGAGAAACGCAAATGAATAATTATAATAATAATTAGTTATATATTGAAAGAAAATTACACTTAAATATATTTGTTATTTAACAAAAACAAATCTCCGTTAATTACATATTGTAAGAAAATTACACTTAAATATTAGATAATATTGAGACATAATGTTTAAAAATACAATGAATAGAAATTAAAAACGGACGATCGTTCAAATCAAACAAAGCCGAGATACTTAAAAATAATGGACGATTAAAATAAATTAATCAATAAAAATTGAAAATAGATGAAAAATAAAGAAACAGGAATAATCGAAGATTTAATAAAGAAGTTATTTTCCACTTATAAGATTTAATATGTGCCTGTATGTTAAAGAAATGCAGTTTTTATCTACATTATGATTAACAGGATTTTAGCCGTGTGAATGGGGATGGATTCGGAAATGATTTTTTTTTTTCATGGTTAGGGGCCGTGTCAAGACACTATAAGTTTTTTTCAAAATCAAATGAACGGTTGAGAGTTAAGGCATGTTCTGATAGTTCGGAGGCCTAAGGGTTCCGGGAAATTATGGATGTTTTCTGTTGGGCAATACGGGTTTTGGGATGGTTTTTGCTTTCGCCAATATTGGAACTATTACAATTGGAACTAATCAAAAATCAAAATTATTGCCGTCCTATAAGTAATATAATTATTACCTATAGGGTTTATTGAACTTTTTGTGAGTTATTTTAATTTTTAAAAAAATGTACCACTACAATTTGCGAAGAGATTTGGATTCAGTACTTTTTAGGAAATACTGTTATAAAGAAAACGGTGTCGGGTTGTTCCTGTTATAAGGGAGATGATCGGGCCAGGATCACGCTTAACCTTATTTTGAGTTAACGACTGCGAATTTTTGGGGAGATGAGCTCTTCGAAAATACTGAGGGGGTAGAGAGTACCCGATCCGTCTCCCCCTCACCCAGTAACTACATATATGGCTTATTCACATCACGGAAGCATCTGCAGTAAAAAAAGTGATCTGAAACAAGATGTCAATAAGCATAGATTCTCAGGGTGTGTACGATTTTGTTGTTTGTAGCATAATATACACCACTGTGCAACAAAACAATATTTTTTTAAGTGAAAACTTCATTGGGCATCTTTTGCACTTCTTTTTTTTTTTTTTTTTTTTTTTTGGACAGTGAACTAGATTGAGCCGTCAGATCTCCATTGTGTTACGCTCGGGTAAAGTCGGCTGGAGTCTACTGATTGAAGTGTTTTGCATATGGATTAAAATCGGACCTGCTTATTGAAAATGTTCATTATTTCATCCTCTTTGTAATGAGCTATTATTCAAAATCGTATCTTAACGCGACGCCGTGTTAGAGGTGTAAAAAGAGAGAAAATAATGTCAAAAACCAAATTATAACGAGTTTAGTTGAAGATATTGATATTTCAGAAATTAAAAAATTCGACCTGAATGCTGCGAGGTAAATGTTCAATGTTTCATCTAGTGTTGCCCAAAATCGGTCTTGGTCTTGCATTTTACCTAACTGTTGCAAGACCAAGACCAGGACTGTTAAAAAAAAAATCGATTTTTGAAATAATAATTAAGGCAAAATAGTTACTAATACTTGATAATCTTAGTTACTATACGTTAATAATTGGTATAACCATTATACTTTTGGATTTAACTTCTCTAATTTTTCATTCGGGCTTAGATAGGTTTTCCTGTCTAAAAAATTACACTAATATCTCTATAGTAATAAGCTAATAAGTAACTGCAAGACTGTTGCGAGACTCTTGCACAAGACCAAGACCATGACCAAGACTGAGTTTGCAAGACAAAGACTCGTCTCGGTCTCGTATTTGGACAACAGAGTCTCATCCTCTTTATAATGAGCTAATATTTATAATTTATATTTTATATTCTTAATCTCGCATTGTTGATGTTTTCACTTCTATCGTGTGGTCTAAAGCACACACCTTAGTTGTTTTTTCTTATTTTCTCTACTTCTGATTTCATTAACAGAGCTATCTATTTTTTTTTTTAATAAAGTATGTTTTAATTCACCAATTCCTTCTGCCCGTGCAGGTATTCAACTTAAGCGAGCCGAAGGGCGGCATGCGGCGGGAGCACTCGCGGGTGAAGGAGTGCGGCTGGCCGCCCGCGCTGGCCCCGCCCTTGGAGCGGCTCTGCTCGGTCTGCAAGGACATGGACACCTGGCTGGGCGGCGGCAGCTCCAGGGTTGCTGTACTCCATGTCAGGTAAATATAATAAACAATATTGTATTATAAATAATATAATAAATAACATTGTATTATAAATAATATATTAAATAGAATACCTATATGAGCCCGAATAGTTTCAAAACACTCACTGGATCTCACTGAATTATTTGGGCAATCGAACATAAAAATCAATTCAACGGCTCGCCTAAAACATCTTTACATACATTTTAGTTGCCAACCCAAAAAGGGTGGTCGGGTAAGAAATTATTATTTCTAAAATATTATAATTATTATTATAAGAAATTTCAGAGCGTACACTGTAATTTAATAGTAAACAACGAACTTTGAGCTTCTCATATTCATAATATTTATCTTGGTAAAAACAAATGACGTTTTAATCAACAATGTGCTATACTGTCATTAATATTCAACTATTATTTTTCAGGGGAGAAAGGGAAAGGATCGGAGTTGTCGTGGCTGCGTACATGCACTACTCAAGTATATGCGGCTCACCAGAGCAGGCTTTGGATAGGTTCGCCATGAAGAGGTACCTCGACCACAAGATCGGAGACTTAGATTTGCCCTCCAACAAGAGGTAAGTCTGAGAATTATTAATAATATTTATTTTTTTTATATATATACATATCACGAATATCCAGTATATTTTCATAATAGGATGCGTTCCAATGGACATCTCTTCAATATTATGACACCAATCAGTGGGATTAAATTATCTCAAAGAATTACTAGTTGTTCTCCCTTTCACCCAAAAAAAAAATGATTGCCCTTCTCACTTATATAATAAATATGTATCTATATGAGATGCAATATCTATGTTTGTTAAAAAGATAGTAGATATGATATTGGTTTGTTTATCGAGAATATTAAAGGTACAATACATTAGGTAATTATAATCAACAAGTAACATCAGTAATATTTAAAGGAGGCAAGGCTCCTCCCTGCCCCCTTCGCGTTTGCCCATGAAAGAAATTCATTATTTTTTTTTGTTAATATTTTTTCTTTTTTAATGAGAATTTCATCTGAAATAATTGCGAGAGCGTTGTCAAAAGTACATTATTTTAAAACAGGGGGGAGGGAAATAAATTTGAAGATGGAGAAATTATTCTTTATTTCCTAATTAGTTTCATTTGGAATGTTGAAACGACCTGTCATTGAGGATGATATTTCATTATATTCATTATTTCATCATTATATAAATTTGTTTCCGTGTCCTATAGCCAAAGACAAGGCATTAGTTTTATTTATTATATACACCCCATGAAGGTACCGCATACCGATATTTAATGCTGAAATCGGATATGCTGAAGACAATGCGCTGCTTGTGTTGAGTACTTAAGATAAAATCATAGCTGCCGCTCTTCCTAGTATGCGCGCCCTTAGATATTTTTTTATATAAACGCAAACCTCAGTGTGCCTTTTTTTCTTTATTTCCTGGTTTAAATGTTCTCTTAAAATTGAAAACTTAATGTCCCACCCAAAAAAAAAATTCTGATGACGCAACCTGCACCATACAACTCCCATGTGGCCTGCTTTAACCTGAAAGAATTTAAATTTTCTAATTACGACAGAAAGTTGAAGATCCCTTTTGCAGTGTCATGCTACATACCTTAACATCCTAAATAAAAACAAATTAATTTTCTAGACTTTATTTAACAATAACGACTATTTGTGCCGGTCAGATGCAAACATTTATCAATCGTTTGCTCTTTCTAATTAATAACTTTAATTCTTTTGACAGAAAGAAATTAAATGATGCCCACGATCTTATTAACTACTATGGTTTTTAACCAATAAAACACTTTTAGCATTTATTGGGTCGTTTTATCACATTTATAAAATAAAAACACGCATAACTGAATACAAAATACCGTGATTTAAAATGGAATATTGTTTCTCGGTTTTCTGTTCCCGAGAATATTTCATTTACCAACATAGGAAAAATCGGAGAGACCCTACTAGAAGCCCTCGGGATATATTATCGTAAAAGAAGAATCAATCAAAAAGGAAACTCTCCAGACGTTACAAGAGAATAATGGAACAAAGCTTTATTTCAGATCATAGACTTGTTTTTGTTCTTTATACTTCGACATCCTTTAGAAAAATAAGCAAATATATAAACAAATAAAATAAAGCAAAATTAAGAATATGCATTATTTTTCAGCATGCATAAAATTGTACATCATATTCATTTAAAGAAAGGAGGGTTATCAAATATGTTTTCGAATTGTGAGAGTTTGGCATGATTTATAGAATGGATTTTATTTAAAAGAAATCCACATTTACTGCAATGAAAAATTATAATTAACAATTTTAATGAGTAATAAAAACATTTACGTAAATTTATTAAGGCATTCAATCGTTAACAAATCAAATTTAACTACTTCGAAAAAGATTCCCGAAAATTGAAACAGCTAATTTTGTAAATATTGCAAGATTCATGCATATGATTCGATGAAGCGGTTTTCAAGAATCAAATATCTGTTTGAATGATCAAGAGGTCATTAACTCCTTTTGGTTACTTTACAATGTTCTTTTCCATTTTAAATTATTTTCTACTTAAGTTCTCTTTTTCTAATTTTTGTCTAAATATTGATTTTTAGAACTATAATATAAATTTATCAGATCTTAAGCAGAGATTGTATCTTACATAATTGTATTTTTAATTTTTTTTTCTGAGTAGTTTTTTAAATATATTAAAAAATAATAATAATAATAAGCCTGTTTATATTTCGTACATTTGTAACATTACGAATATATTCTAACATTAAAAAATGTTTTAATTTAATTTTTAAAAATAATTTGATAATTATAAGGCAGTTTTTTATTATAGTAAATTTGTTTATAACTATATAACTTTATATAGTTTTAAACAAATAAAGCGGTTTTGTTTATCGCCTCCATGAACACTCTCTCGCAATTCATTTGATCTAATTTTCAAGCCCTCTCATTAAAAAAATGTACCGTGATAGTGCGTGCCTTAATCATAGCTAAGAGGTTTACTCATCCTATTATGAACTGATCTTTTCAGACATACTCATGCCAGCAAGGTGACATACATTTATTTACAGATTAGTGTCTTTAGGTATAATAAATAAATTATGAATTATAAAGCTATGAAATATGGATGGGTTGACTTAGGCCTCACAATACAGTTCTCCTATTAATCATGATTCCTTTTCAAGTCATTCATAGTTGAAAACTATCTTTAAATTAAATTTCGCATCTTCTAGATCAGCCATCGACTTATCGAATATGGATTTTTAGGAAGATAAAAATCAAAATAAAATAATAAATAATTCAAATTTTAAAATTATTAATCTGAGTCATTCTCTATGATTGACTATCACAATGAATATCATCATAAAAATTATTAGTTTCCATTTTTTTCTCATAGCTATTGCCCATTAAATATAAACTAAGCTTACGATTAAGATATTATTGGAATATTCTAAGGACAAAACCTCAAGTCAGGTGTATGTACATTCCTAATAAGTCAACGTTTAAGGACTTTAGGCACAAACCAGATAAGTCTCTCACAATAGTTTTTTGAGAGCCATGTAATATTAAATAACGCGTCAGATAATTCACCATTAGTCTTTGAATATATAAAGTCCAGAACTAACTTCATTTTCGCCTAAAAAGTACCCTATTATTATTAACACGGGCGTCAAAGACAAGGTATATTAAGTTTGGGACATACTAAGTTTTTGTCGCGTCGGATAAAAAATTTATGATGGTCGATTGTGCTATATTCTGTTTACTGCTTACCTCACTGGAGAGAATTGATACTACATGTCCACTCGTTTCTTTGTTCCGATCATAATGCATTAAAAAATATCTGGTGCGAGCATCACACGACTTTCACTTATCACCCTCTTCTCAGAAGAAATAAATATTTTCAGACTAAGGAGAAGTGAAAATAGAAATAATTAACATTACATTTATTTACAATTCATTGTGGGTTTTTTTATTTGTTTAAATACTGCTATATATACAAATTTTAATTTTTATATCGCTGTATTCTATACAATTAAATATTAAATAATACCAACGATAGCATTTATGAAAACCGCATAAGTGTATGAACATAATATTGTCGGAGTCCGTATTATATGAAGCTCATGTTACGTATGGAAGTCTGTTGTAATCTTTCGGGCGAGCTCAAGTGAGCTCGGGCAAGCTCGTATTCCTTTGAATCCTCTATTACAATTATTACCAGTTACGATCTCTTATTTCACATTTAGTCAATTATCAAATTCTTTCATATGTTATATTTAACTATTTTTTTTAATCAAGATTAATGTGAAATGTTTTTATTTTAATTAATTCAAATTAAAAAAAATAAAGCTACTTTAGAGGAAGCCAATATTGAAAATTAAGTAATCAAGCCCTGATAGAGTAAATAAATGAAAATAAAACCTATATTATATTAAAAACTAATTAATAATGAATTGATATACTAAGTTTAGTCAAAAACGTTAAAGCCGTTTTTGAGAAAATCGTAAAAATGCGTTAAATAAATTTAAATTTAAATAAACACACACATGCACTCACCATTTTGCGGGACTTGGTTATTTGGAATCAGCAGTCCTCAAAACATTCTGTTGAAAACTCAGACTCGAAAATTTTCACGATCGCAATACATTTTACCCTTAATATATATTGCATATTTAGATAAGTGAAAGTAAAAAACTTGAAAAATTCCGAATTGAGTTCTTGTAGCAAGGCCTTTAACGTCTCTAATATATTCTCAATTAACATGAACTCACCTGAAAACATTCTACATATGACAGGTACATGATCGGAATTTTCACCAAAATTAAGTTTCTTTTTATTCTTTTAAGGATACCAAGAAATGTTAACATGATTATTTATGAGCCATACAACGTATTGTTAATATCTTAATATTTATTTCTCCGAATTATTTCCATAATCATTACAGAGTAATTCTAATCATATGATTATAAAGCTTGTAGCCGTTCATATTGATCTCATGAAATTTCCATTTACATGAAAGGAATGATTTTCAGAAATGAAGTAGCTACCAACTCCTATGATTCAATCAATGGTTGGAAAATAAATGGTAGTGATTTACTATCTTCAGACAGGAACCATCAACACTGAAAACGAGTTCCTAAAACGCGCTGGCTAGATCCGTTAGTCAAGTAATTCATCTGGATAATCTGGCTTAATTGACTCTGTAAGCGTCGATTATATTTTTGAAATGTTGGGGCAGTGATTTGTTAAAATTAACTATGAGTGGGAATAATTTTATTTATCTGCGATTTATAAGTAAGCTTTAAGCTTTGAAAAAATCCGATTAAATTTAAAAAATCAAAATCATTGTGTTTGTACTAGTTTACGAACTATCAATTTCCTCTTTTAAATATTAGTTAACTTATACTATTTAAATCTTTCTATTGTACTGTAGTGAAGATTGGTGAGTTATACGAAGAATAAATTAATATATAAATCATAAATTTTAGTTTTATTAAACAATTGATTCTTCGATTAGCACATGGAGTTGCAAAATACTAAATCCGACCTTCTCATTCGTTGATAATAATTAACATTCTTTTTCAACCATAAAAAATAACAATAAAATGTATTATAATTAAGTTTTCATGTATTATAAACAATATTTCATAGATTATTAATTTAATATTGAATTTTATTTTAGGGAATAAACTTACGAAGTCTGTGATGTCTACACTTAAAAATATTAAGTACTTCTAATGTTATTTATTTATGTTTTGACAAAGACTAAAATTTTATAGTATTGCATCGAGCATACTATTTTTCTATTCTAATTTTGTTTCTAAGATTTTTTTAGCCTCAATTTTTTAAAAATATCACAGCACTGCTGCTATATAAAAATTTTCATACATCTCTTACTAAGTTATCTACAAACTATTTTTTTTTTTTTAATTCTGTGTAGAAAACATAATCTAAACAATGAATTGATTTAGGCATCGAACTAAAACTTGACACATCTAATTTATTTCCATAATGAAAAAATTAAATCTTTAAAAAATTGGGTCTTACTATGTATAGAAATGTTTTTTAAATATATAATCATCAGTGAATAAGCAACCATGCTGCTATGCCCCAGATCACGGATTCTGGTCTGGCTGTGGTAGGTATTATAGTCCGTGGTACAGACCTCTTTTTATCAAACTATTAACACCGGCTGAAACTTCGTAAATAGCTTCATCTCATCGTAACCAACAAATATTTTATTTACGAAAATTCTCGGAATTGGGAAATTTTCAATCTGGAGATAGGTAAACTTTGTCTATTTAATTAGGTGCTAAAACTGCTATATACCCATTTGATTTCCACGTTACTCGTATGATAACCCGATAAGTCGAGAAAAAAAGGAGGCCTTCAAAAATATTGAGTCGTTTGGCCTACATTACTTCCTTAATTTGACAATTTGGGGGTGTAGGTCACGACAAACGGCTCAATATTTTTGTATGCCCCTTTTTTTCACTTTTTGATCAAATGGGTATATACGAGTTTTTACTACCTAATTAAATATACAAAGTCTGCCGACCCAATTTAAAACGCCCCAATTCCGAGAATATTCGTAAATAAATTATATGGAGGTTACGATGAGATGAAGCTATGTACGAAGTTTCAGCCGGATGTTTATAATTTGATAAAAAGGGGTCTTCACCACGGACTATTAATTTATTCTGTTTCAGCAGCCATGGATTGATCCTTCTGGGACATATTCAACCTTTATAAAGTGGACAGTCTTAATTAAATTATAAATTATTGAGAAAACCCAGGCGGTTGAGTATGATCCCAACCAAATCACTTTCTTGCCATACTGTTGAACCCCAGATGGGTTTTAGTATTTTTATATATATTTTAAAAACAATTAAATCCAAACCAGTTTATTAAATGAGTTAAAGAATCATTGTTAGAAATTGAAACATAATCCTTTCTTTATACCTTTCCCCAAAAACAAGAAAATTTTTTTAAAGATAATTAGGAACAATTCAGAGAATTTTTTAATTGAGTAAAAACTTCACATTGTGGTAGATATTGGCAAGTTCCTAAACTAAGCACTGAGTTTATTGAAAGTATCAGAACCGTCTCTAAATTAGGCTAAACGATGCATCGATGAGCTCATCGCTGAATTTAGAACCTTGCCCATTTAAAAACAAGAATATAACAGCATGAAAGTAATGTTGATGTTTTGCGGTTCTATGTAGCATTAATGAATCAATTATGTTTGTGTTAACATTGATCAGTGTCTAGACTGTGTACAGTCAATGGCGATAATGATTACAAACTGACTTTATAATCTCCAGGAATAGTAACTAAGCAAACCGCCTCACTCAAACACGATGCCAAAGCATTTTTGGCGCCCAAGCATGAGATAAATCCTTTAACTAATGTTCATCGGAAACACATTTTTTTCTGGAAATAGTCAGTTATAAACAACTAAAATAAGCAGGAATTCGTTGATAGCTGAAGGAAACTACTCTGAATATATTTTTAAAATAGTTATAATTAGTATATGCCAGTCATTTTCAATTTTTCTCCTTGATTATTGCAAATATTCTGATTTGAATCGACAGACTGACATATGCTTGTAAAAAAAAAAAGTTGTCTGCTTAAATGTTAGGAGGAACTGGTTTTTATTACTTATTTAGATGAAAGAAAAATAATAGATTGAAGACTATGACATCTTCAATATTTATTTATTAGATGAATAAATAGCACAAATGTAATTGAAATGGATCCTCTTTACCTCAGGTGTGACAGTTACGGTAAGCGGATAGTCCTATTTCCTCCAGTTCCGCGAGAGCAGCCTCCAGTGGCTCCAGTGGATGGCCTTGCAACCGCTTTCTCCTTCCCACGGCAGTCCCGGTGATCTATCTGCCGTTCGGTCACCTCTCAACTTCCGGTCTTGACATTGAAATAGGCTCGGTAGCTTTCCTACGTTTCAGCGGCTGCTTTTGCGAAAATATCTTGGAACTAAATAGATTTTTAGTTACTTCTTGAAAATTTTCAATTATGAGATTATAAAGTGAGGTATATAAAATAACGTAAATATAAGCAGTAAGCGATTGGATGTCATGGAGTGATGTTTGATTTGCTTTTCTCTTCTGTCCTGATGATGCCTGGATTCGCGAAACCTTGGGTTTTTTTTTCTTTACTTGTATTTTGAAGACATAAGGCTGTGTGGTATTGAAATTTTTCTACTTATAACCTAACGCAAAAATGGTATTTGAAAATATGTCTACATAGATTTACAAGTTATCCCGTAAGCAAAGGAAAATATTTAAAGAAGTTAAAGTAAACCTATACCAATTTAAAATGATGTAGAGATTTTCCATGATGATGAGGAGTTTTTCCATTTTCTTTTCAGTCTGGGTCGACCAGGTAACAGGGAGCAGGAAATAGAAAAGGACTAATGGATTGGTGTGATTTAGAGTTGAAAATAAATCTTAATATTAAAATGTAAAAAAGTGTCATTATCATTTAGATGATTAATATTTGAATAATCAGTATTTTAAACTTTTTTTTGTAAATAAAATGTTTTATGTTTTAATTTATCAAGTTAAATTTATTATAATAAATCCCGGGTCATAGAAAAATAAATACATTTAAGCTTTACCGTAATTTATTGTAGTCATTGTTGCTGAAAATTCGGATACTTTTAGGTTGCAGGGTATCAAATCACCTCATTGTTGATCACAACTTGAGATAAAGCTCAGCTTATTTTGTAATAAACCTCAACTTAATTAAAATGTGCTTGAAGCTTATTTGACAAGAAAGTATTTCTAAAAGTTGGGTATATGTAGGATAATTGAAGAGTGATAAACAAAAGTCGAGAATAATTCACGATATTTTTTAAAACAGACTTCGCTTCTTAGTTTAGCCGCTCGAAATTCCGTTTTACATAGTTTTATCAATGGCAGATTCCGCCAATCAGATCCGCTAAATATGAACCCTTTACAATCTTGACCATCATCTTACCTGGAATCCGTAAACAAGACTGAAATGACAAGAAACTGTTCCTAGACTTCGACTAGAACACTTACTTGACACAAGCTCCGAACTTCTAATTTATGACAAAAAGCTCATTTACATTATTATTATCAGACCTTCTTTGACGTAAGGGTTTGAGCTTTGGGATACCCATGTCTCCAATCAAATACCTCCCGCATCCAATCTCTAACATCTAAACCTTCAAAAAATCCTCAAGTATCCTTATTGCGTACCCTTGCGTAACAAAACTATTCATAATGACCTTAATATCCGAAATAGACATGCCTCCTTCAGTCAGAGACGCCTAACCTACACGAACCCATTAATTTTTAACCTATCAGCCATTCCAGAAAAAAATATCGCGACGAAATCTTCCAACTAGGAGTAATCATTGAACATCAACCAATGAGTAGTTTACTTAAAAATTATATCATGTTTCACACCGAAAGCGGTGACCCTGGGGACAGGAGATCCTCCTGAGGCACACCCATCCTCTTTAAAGTGAGTACACTCAATTTAATAATTAATTAAGGGGGGAAACCATGGTCAAATCATCTTGCACAACCGTTGACTAAGAAACAATGGTTTCCCTAAATAGCACTGAACCCAAGACCCTTCATGAGTTGTAGTGGTACAGGTTTTTTTCCCCCACAATATACTTTAACTTCACATACTTTAATTATAATGCATGAGTAGGGTAAAAATGCCGGTTCTACCCCACTTTAATCCCAGAATTTGAAGGGCACTTTTGGACTTTGGACCCTGGGCTATTCTTACCTTAACCACCTGTACACCACGTGACCAATATAATTTATTTTGATTGATCTTAATCCCTAATCTTAATCCTTAATCTCTAATGCTAATCTCTAATCCTAATCCTTAATCCTAATTTGTATTTTTTCATTTTTAAGTTCGACAGGTCCGGACCTGTCTCAACTGGTCTCATCTTGTCTACCTCAAGTAAATATAAAGTGTAACGACATAAATATAGACATATATTGTGACATTCTACGATATCATGTCTGAACTGGTCCCATCTTGTCTACGTCTCAGTAAATATAAAGTGTAACGACGAAAATATTTATTATTGCAAACGAATATAAATTATAACAATGAAATATACACATATATTATTACAAAATGAATATATACATATATGGTAACGATGAAAAACATACATTTATAGTTACTAACGATGAAATATATACATATATTATTACAAATGAATATAAATATAAATTGTAACGAGAAAAATATATATTATTACAAAGGAATATAAATATAAAGTGTAACGACATAAATATATATTATTGCAAACGAATATAAATTATAACAATGAAATATACACATATATTATTACAAATGAATATAAACATAAATAGTAACGAATAAAATATATATTATTACAAAAGGAATATAAATTATAACAATGAAATATATACATATATTCTAATAATTTTACGATAATATATCATAAAATTAACAACAACGTCATCACCCCTCCTCTCCCCCCTCCCTCTTCTTCTCATCAACTTTTATATATTGTTTTTTTTTTTTTTTTTTTTCATAAATATCAAAACGTATTTAATAATCTAAGAATATACATCTCCAATATCACGAATATTGTAATAAATCGAAATTGAAACTAATATCATTTTCGAATTTTACAAATATAATAATCTAATAGTACACTCTAATATGTAAAAAATAAATCATCAAGTTAATATACGTAATATTATTTTTATAACATATGTTATATAGAAGGCCGTGGAGAGTATCTGGCACTTCGAATAATCATAGACTCCAATATCAAAGAAAGTTTTATTAAATCAATCTTAAAACTAATATCATTTTCGAATTTTACAAATATAATAACCTAATAGTAGACTCTAATATCGAAAAAAAAAAATCATAAAGTTAATATACGTAATATTATTTTCATAACATATGTTATATAGAAGGCCGTGGAGAGTATCTGGCACTTCGAATAATCTTATACTCCAATATCAAAGAAAGTTTTATTAAATCAATCTTAAAACTAATATCATTTTCGAATTTTACAAATATAATAACCTAATAGTAGACTCTAATATCGAAAAAAAAAAATCATAAAGTTAATATACGTAATATTATTTTCATAACATATGTTATATAGAAGGCCGTGGAGAGTATCTGGCACTTCGAATAATCTTATACTCCAATATCAAAGAAAGTTTTATTAATTCAATCTTAAAACTAATATCATTTTCGAATTTTACAAACTATAATAACCTAATAGTAGACTCTAATATCGAAAAAAATAAATCATAAAGTTAATATACGTAATATTATTTTCATAACATATGTTATATAGAAGGCCGTGAGAGAGTACAGCTGCGTTAGGCGACAAGTCTCTTCACGTTTGAACATGCATAGGCATGTAGGGGGACAAGGTCCACTGCGAAGGAAGCGGTAGGGTCGGAAGAGAGTGGTGGGGAAACCATCAGCCAATCAGATTCGAGGATACAACCGGAGGTACCCGTGTGCCTACCCCCACTACTCTCATTCTAGCTCCAGACTTCACAGTGTTCATATCGTACTTAGTGTCCTCTGCGTTAGAATTCTCTATCTTCTTCTACAGTTTTGTTTATATTATTAGTTTAGTTATCTACAGTGTTGTTTTCTTTATTTCAAAGTTATTTTTGTTTCTTCATACTTTTTTTTCTATCCTAAGGTAAGTTTTTTCTTTTTATTTAGTTCTCTATTAAAAATTTTTCTATTCTGTTAACATTTTTCTTTTAGGTTTTTCTTTTTACATCTTCATATTCTCTTATTATAGTGTTCTTTTTTTTCTCTCTTACTATTATATATATTTATTAAAGTTTAAAGTTTTTTCGTTTCGTGTTTTCTTTATATTCTCTTATTATAGTGTTCTTTTTTTTTCTCTTACTATTATATATATTTATTAAAGTTTAAATTTTTTTCGTTTTGTGTTTTTCTTAATATTTATAGTAATTATTCTTCCTTTTTCTTCTTATTATATATATATTAAATTATTATATATTTATTTAATATATTTAAATAATATTATATTTATATATATTATATATATATATATATTTAAAGTTATTTTCGTGTGTGTTTCTTAATATCATTTTCAAAGTAATTGTTCTTTCTTTTTGTTCTTATTATATATATATTTATACTAGTTTATAGAGTTTTTCTTTTCGTTTTTTTCTTATTAATTTTTTTGTTTTAATTCATTTATCGGTCGGAGATAATTTTTTTTCTTTATTATTATATATAGTTATTCTTTATTAAATATATATTTTACAAAAAATGGAATCCTCATCAAGGAAATGTGCCAACTGTGATAAAACATTTGCTAGCCATAGAGAGTGCATGGCTCATGAACTATCATGTATTTATAGTCAGGAATTTCCACAACTAGCCTCGTGCATTTGCGCCAAATGTGGCAAATCTTTTTCTAGATCAGATAACAGAATACGACACGAGGCTATTTGTGGGGATTCCTCTCAAACCCAAGAATTTTTGAACAATATTAAATTGATTTGTTCTTTTTGCGGGAAATCTTTTAATAGAGAACATCATCGTTTAAGACATGAAAAATCGTGTAAACACCTGTCCCGATTTGATAATTTTGATAACCATTGTGAAGTTATTTGTGGAAAATGTGGACAGGTGTTTACACGAAAAGATACTAGATTAAAGCATGAGATTGCATGTAAAGTAGTTTTTAAGAGGTCCTGCCGTTTCTGCGGAACAAATTTTACAAACATTTATAATTATTTTAGACATGAGGAATTTTGCAATAATGAACCCCCGAGGAAAAAACCTAGACAAGAACCACAACGGCAGGACCTCTTTGGTCTCAAACCC